CTCTGGGCTGATGGCTCAGAGCCTGGAGCCTGTTTCTGATTCTGTGTCTCCCTCTCTCTCTGCCCCTCCCCCGTTCATGCTCTGTCTCTCTCTGTCCCAAAAATAAATTAAAAACGTTGAAAAAAAATTAAAAAAAAAATTACATCTTTCTTAAGTGGTTTTCCTTTAAAAAAAACTAGACTATGAGGTAGGAGAATCTAACTGACCCTTGAGATCATAAAATATGGTTAAGTGTTCTAGAGATACACATCATGGCTCTGGTTGGTTCAGTCTTAACTATCCGAGCATTTATCAATCTATTTTCCTTCATTTAGTGTCTCTTTCATGCCAGTGTAAACTTATTGTTTCTAAAGAGGATTAGACACAAACTCATAACACAATTTTGTGTAAAATTTTAAACTTCTCAAGAAAAGGTAATAATTTACAGAACTACAATATTTCCAAATAATAGAATCACTCTGTATTTTGGTTGCTGAGAGTTACCAAAATGTCTATAGGATCTATGGGTTTAATTCAGGAGGAGTCACTGCACTTGAACTTCATAGCTACTCTGAGAATACTGTGCATATGCTACATATTTAAGTCAAGTCACCACCATTTTCTCCTGCTCTGCAAGAGCAGACATTAGTGTGTAGCCATTACTCAAAAATCGTAAAAATTGCAATTTCACATGGCTCAGCCTAAACTTATTTTGCTTATAGCATACTTTTAAAAACCGCTTTGGGGGAAAAACGGCTTTTGTATTTGTTTTACCACAACTATTATTTTTGTTTTATAAAAATCACTTTGGGTGGGAGAGGGAAATGAGGAGTTATTGTTCAATAGGTATACAGTTTGAGTTAGGTAAGATGAAAGAATTCTAGAGATCTGCTGTACAACAATGTGCACAGAGTTAACACTACTATACTGTACACTTAGGGGCGCCTGGGTGGCGCAGTCGGTTAAGCGTCCGACTTCAGCCAGGTCACGATCTCGCAGTCCGTGAGTTCGAGCCCCGCGTCGGGCTCTGGGCTGATGGCTCAGAGCCTGGAGCCTGTTTCCGATTCTGTGTCTCCCTCTCTCTCTGCCCCTCGCCCGTTCATGCTCTGTCTCTCTCTGTCCCAAAAATAAATAAACGTTGAAAAAAAAATTTTTTTTTTAAATTTGAGAGATTTCATATCATTTTATATTACAGAAATTATAATAATAAAAAAGACAAGCTTAAAAAGAGAGCTCCCAATTTCCAGGCCATGCTTCTCTTGGCTGGTGAAAATAAACATAATTATGAAGAGCTTCTTAAAAATCAGTTTTTTATGGCATTTAATTATACCAGAGAATGTTTCATACAGTTTTCACCCTAGCTTAAAGTTCCAACTTTGTGGCACAAAAACAGACACATAGACCAATGGAATAGAATAGAAACCCCAGAACTAGACCCACAAACGTATGGCCAACTCATCTTTGACAAAGCAGGAAAGAACATCCAATGGAAAAAAGACAGTCTCTTTAACAAATGGTGCTGGAAGAACTGGACAGCAACATGCAGAAGGTTGAAACTAGACCACTTTCTCACACCATTCACAAACATAAACTCAAAATGGATAAAGGACCTGAATGTGAGACAGGAAACCATTAAAACCCTAGAGGAGAAAGCAGGAAAAGACCTCTCTGACCTCAGCCGTAGCAATCTCTTACTCGACACATCCCCAAAGGCAAGGGAATTAAAAGCAAAAGTGAATTACTGGGACCTTATGAAGATAAAAAGCTTCTGCACAGCAAAGGAAACAACCAACAAAACTAAAAGGCAACCAACGGAATGGGAAAAGATATTTGCAAATGACATATCGGACAAAGGGCTAGTATCCAAAATCTATAAAGAGCTCACCAAACTCCACACCCGAAAAGCAAATAACCCAGTGAAGAAATGGGCAGAAAACATGAATAGACACTTCTCTAAAGAAGACATCCGGATGGCCAACAGGCACATGAAAAGATGTTCAGCGTCGCTCCTTATCAGGAAATACAAATCAAAACCACACTCAGATATCACCTCACGCCAGTCAGAGTGGCCAAAATGAACAAATCAGGAGACTATAGATGCTGGAGAGGATGTGGACAAACGGGAACCCTCTTGCACTGTTGGTGGGAATGCAAATTGGTGCAGCCGCTCTGGAAAGCAGTGTGGAGGTTCCTCAGAAAATTAAAAATAGACGTACCCTACGACCCAGCAATAGCACTGCTAGGAATTTATCCAAGGGACACAGGAGTACTGATGCATAGGGGCACTTGTACCCCAATGTTCATAGCAGCACTCTCAACAATAGCCAAACTATGGAAAGAGCCTAAATGTCCATCAACTGATGAATGGATAAAGAAATTGTGGTTTATATACACTATGGAATACTACGTGGCAATGAGAAAAAATGAAATATGGCCTTTTGTAGCAACGTGGATGGAACTGGAGAGTGTGATGCTAAGTGAAATAAGCCATACAGAGAAAGACAGATACCATATGGTTTCACTCTTATGTGGATCCTGAGAAACTTAACAGGAACCCATGGGGGAGGGGAAGGAAAAAAAAAAAAAAGAGGTTAGAGTGGGAGAGAGCCAAAGCATAAGAGACTGTTAAAAACTGAGAACAAACTGAGGGTTGATGGGGGGTGGGAGGGAGGAGAGGGTGGGTGATGGGTATTGAGGAGGGCACCTTTTGGGATGAGCACTGGGTGTTGTATGGAAACCAATTTGACAATAAATTTCATATATAAATAAAAAAAAGTTCCAACTTTGTATTCTTTATGATGCTTTCCATATAGTACTGGGTGCTCAATGTCAATTTATTAAATAAGTTAATATTAGTAAAAGCTATCAATTTTCAAGGGTTTTCTTTATTGAGGAAATAGATCTAGGGCTAGAGAATAGTTAAACACATACTAAGTACTTTTTTTCTCTCACTTCTCATTCCTTGTACTCAATTACATTAATACTTTCGAAGCACATCTACTGAATTCTTTAATTCCTTCTTCACATATTTGTTGAGCCCTTACTGCGTTCCAGGCAGGAGCCTGGAGACAAACTACAAAACAATGCATGAAGCATTAAGGAAGCACCTTCCTTGGATAGAGAACACAAGGGAACTTTTAAAACCAAGCAACACTAGAGGCAATACTTTAAGGATAAGTGGAATCATCACAATTTTGTTTCATAAGGATGAAAAATTTTTTGAAAAAACTCCACTGAAATTCAGAAATTCAACTAGCTGAGTTTTGTAAACCAGCCCCCCCCCCCGACAAACACCAAATCCCAAAACTACAGTTTGTATTGAACTTGACTGTATAAACCAGATAGTTCAAGTACAGAGATAAAAATTCCAACTTCAGATATTTAATTTATGCAATGCAAAGACAATTCATCATTTATATCCAGAAGGTACTCTTTGCCAGCACTAATATATATTAACATCTATAACTTCTACAAATGTAGAATTAAATTTATTACTATTTGATGGCAAATTAAACTACAATATGACAAAATACAGGTTCAAATGTAGGAGAACTTAAAAACAAGTCCTTGGGGAGTCAGTGTAGAGTTCATGAAGAAAAGTCATACACCGACCTTCAAAAAGGAGTTGAAACTTGCCCACTCAATCTCTCCTTCCAATAAGTTTTTGGGTTAACTTCAAGGCTACCAAAACCAGATCAAGTTCAATCTTCACTGACACAAAGCTAAACTAAACTTTTTTGTGGTTATTAGATATACCTCCATATTTGACAGCCAGCCTTTAGAGGAAGGGACCACCTCATCTCTTAATAGGGAGTATGGAGAAAGCTTCAGGATTTCAAATACATAAATGGACATAGTGGGACAATTTTTTAAACTTCTTAATATATTCTGCTAACATTATATCATTTATATAGCATTATGAGTACAGAACAACAAAACTTAAACTGTTAAAGAGAAAGCCAAATGGAGCTACATCTTGACATATCTAGTGAAACCATTTCAATAAAACATATTTGGCAGAACCATAATCTATTAAAGCTAGCTTCAAGTTAATATTTTTATTGCTAGTGTTGAAATTTCCTCCAATAGTAAGATAAGGCTTATATTCAGACAAAATCAATTTTTAATTCTGATAATTGTAATTTACCCCAAAATTTAAAGTTTTGTCTAATATTTTCTTGCAATACAATGTAACTTTTTTCTTCTTTTTTAAGGAAGCAAAGTATCTCTAAAGAAATAACTGCTGGGGCGCCTGGGTGGCTCATTCGGTTAAGCCGCCGATTTCGGCTCAGGTCATGATCTCACAGTCCACGAGTTTGAGCCCCCCCGTTGGGCTCTGTGCTGACAGCTCAGAGCCTGGAGCCTGCTTCGGATTCTGTGTCTCCCTCTCTCTCTGACCCTCCCTCGTTCATACTCTGTCTCTCTCTGTCTCAAAAATAAACAAACATTAAAAAAAAATTAAAAAAAAAGAAATAACTGCTGAATTTGGAGGACCTTTGGAGTACTTGTAACTACATGCCTTACTGACACACAGTTAAATATTTAAAGAGGTGTTTCCTTTCTCTAAAGACCCAGAGGGGCAGTATCGTACTTAGCTTCTGGAAATCAAGTCCATACTCAAAAATCCTCCAGAAGGTCAGCCTTGGTGGTAGACTCGGAAGCCGCCAGCATGGGTTCTCCCTCCAGCTCCAGAAATATACTTACTTTCCACTCACTCCTTTTGGCCAGCACGTTCTCCCAGTCCAGAAGTACTAGGTATCAAAGATCCCGAGAACATTTAAAATATGTATTTTATACCCTACCTACGTTTACATCTTGGGATGTAAACACACATAAACACAAACACGGAAACACTGTACTCCACCACAGGAAGACCGAAAGGAGCCAGCTCGCCCCTGCCATGCTAGTGGCTCAATTCCCTGTTATCCAGGTTATCGCAGCTCCGCCTATAGCTTGACAAATAGCCAATAGCGTGTAAAGACTCTAGGAAGCGCGATGATGTAAGCATGGACGTTCACGTAGTGACGCAGGCGGCGTTACCGTCTCCAAGGAGCGGTCCAGGGCACCGGTTTCAAAGTCGTAGGGCGGGCCGGGTGGACTTCCGCAGTTGGCCCCGGGTTTCCCCGCGGTCCTGAAGTCAACGCCCCCCCCCACCCCGAAACGCTCCTTCAAGGACGCCTCCACCCGGCCTCCTGGCTGGCTTCCTTGGCTCTCTCCTAAGTGGCCCGACACGACCCCGAGTGACCTGCGGGACGTCTATATCCACCCGCGTCTCCTTTTTACCCGGCTGGGATTCGAATGAACGTGGAACAAAATTCACTTGGCGGGTCCCCAGCAAACCTGAAACCTGAAGTCTGTCGCCTGAGCGAGGAGGGGCTCGGCTGGGACTCAGGAGAAGGCTCGGCGGGGCTGTTGACGCCGCGTGAGTAGGATACTGATTACACTGCTGAGTGCTTGACAACCTCCAGCGTTGCTTTAGTTTAGCTTTCCCGGACAGCGAGCTCTCTGGGGGTTTTTTGTTTTTGTTTTTTAAGAAAGTGAAGGTGGTAAAAGCTCCAGACTGAAATTGTATCGAAATGGCCACGGAAATCGACTTTCTGAGAGATCAAAGTAAGCTCCATATTCTTTTATTTGAGAATTCTTACATGTTTAATGTCGTCATCGCTAACCAACTAACATTTTTCGAATGCCTGTTCGGTGCATGGAAATTTGTAAAAAGTTAGCTTTACAAAAAGCTTGGTGGTATGCATGAGGATGTGTATGTACTTAAGCAGAACCGTTTGGTAAATCCTTGTACGTTCCTTTAGCTTATATGGAACTCTACTAGACACCAAACATGGTTGTTATGCTCCTCGCATAACTGGAGAAATTAGAAGGCTAATGTCCAGGAGGAGTTTCCAAGTTTGCCATTAGAACCTAGAGGCACAGTTCTGGCCATTTGTAAATAGATTTTTATTGAACTACTCCTGTTTCAGTTATGCCAGACTCTGTACAGACATAGCTGCTGCTGCAAAGATGAGGAAGACAGTTCTACCTTCCAAGAATTTGAGAAAAGAAATGTGTAAATTCCATAAATACACTGAAGTGGAAGCAACCGCTCTTTGCCTCAGTTTCCTTATAGGGTTGTTGGAATGATTAAATGAGTATTAAATATGTAAAGGATTTAGAATACTATCTGACACATAGAGGTAAACAAATATTGACTATTACAGGATTATTATTAGCTGTGGTCAAGAAAGGTGTCATTTGGCCTGAAACTTGAAGTACTAATATGAATATAAAGAATTGTGTAGGTATCCCAAAGGGGATAATATTGCAGCTTTGAAGGAATTAGGAATATGTTTTGTGAAAGACTTGGAACAAGGTTGGCTTGTACGAAATGTGGTTTATATAGGCAAATAGCAAGTAGACCTAAAGGGAAGAATGGGGCTGGATGGTGAAGGGCCTTGTCTTCTGTGTGTTGAGTTTGGACCATAACACAGGTTATTGGAGCCAGGGAAAGGAATTCACTTGAGAGTAACATGATCGGATTGTGATTTGGAAAGCCTGGTGTGGCTGTTATGAGGAACATGCATTTTAGCAGAGTACAAGTTAGGTGACTATTGTTACCATTCACATAAGGGGTGAGCTAAGGTAGTACGGTGATTGGAGATTAGGGAATTTGAGAGAAAGAGGTAGAGGGCAACTGAGATTTTTGTGTTAAGGAGTGGGAAGGTGGGAAAAAAGGTAGTAAGTTCCATTTTGAAAGCTTTATAAACCAGTGGTTAAAAAAAAAAACAAAAAAAAACCCAAAAACCAGTGGTTAAAGACTCAACCTCTAGATTGAGTCTGTCTAGGTTCATATCCTGGCTTTTTCTTTTTTCAGGTCTTTGACCTGACCCTAGCTTCGCTGTGCATCAGTTTTCTCATTTCTAAAATGGGTATAATAGCACAATAACTCTCATAGGGTTGTAAGGATTAAATGAGATGATGTAAATCGCTTAGCATGATTTCTAGTCCATATTAAGTGCATTATGTATATTTAAAATTATTAATGCCTGTAATGGTACTATATTATTATTTCTGTGTTTTAAGTGGGAGTATCTGCCATCCCTAAGGAAGACTAGCTAGCCATCAGCTGAGTGGTGTGGGATAAGAACTGGGTGATAAGTAGTTTGGTTGGGGTGGGGAAGGTACCTAAGTTACACAGAAACAATGAGTTTTAGAGGAGTGAGCTAGCCATTTTTTTTTGTTTTAACTGGACCTAGTGTGCCATTTACAGCTGGGTAGATTACCCAGTTAGACAAAACACCTGGACACCACCTGAAGTAAATATAGATGGCTTGACTCTCTCCCACCTACTCTGACCTTCTCTGCATTAACTTCAATTGATCTTGATTGTCTCTTTTCATTTGTTCCATTTGGATTTGTTAATCCAGTTCGAGACAGTTTGATTTGGCATTTCTCAACTGGCAACCCCTGTGATAAAAGCATTAGCTTTACAACTAACTACAGGCAATTGCAGACCTAACCATGCTCGTAACAAACTAGCATTTTTGTAGTATACCATTCTTCACCTCCATCTGAGAAGGGAAATCTGATAGTCCTTAGGAAACTGTTCAAAGAGATACTTATTTATTAAGCTAAGGAATGAAAAAACCATTCTTGTGGTAGGAATTTGGGAAGTGGTGATTATTATTTTTTTTTTATTCTTTAAGTGTTCTTCACGGAGAGGTTTTTAATTTTGACTAAATTCTCAATTTGTTCTTTTATGGATGTCATATCTAAGAAATCTTTGTTTAATCAAAGGCTGCAAACATTTCCTTCTATGTTTTCATCTAGAAATTCCGTAATTTTAGGTTTTATATGTAGATTTATGATCTGTTTGACTTAAATTTTGTACAAGGTGCAAGATAGGGGTCAAAGTTCATCTTTTTGCATATGGATACAATTGAAAAGACTGTCCTTTCTCCATTGGATTACCTTTGCATCTTTGCTAAAAATCAGTTGTCCTTATTTTTGTTGATCTATTTCTGGACTCTATTCTGTTCCATTGATTTGTTTATCTATTTGAGTACCAGTATCCCAATGTTTTGATTATTGCAGCTTTATAGTAAGTCATAAAATCAGATGATGTTAGTCTTTCAAATTTGCTCTTTTTCAGTTATTTTGGCTATCCTAGGTACTTTGCACTTCATATGAATTTTAGAATCAGTTTGTCAATTTCTTCCAAAAAAGATGCTGAGATTTTGAGAGATATTGCATTGAATCTATTGATCAATATGTGTAGAATTCATATCTAGTGATATTGAGTCCTCTTACCAATGAAAAGGTATAGTCTCTCCATTGATGTACCTATTCTTTTATTTCTCTCCGCAATATTTTGTAGTGTTTAGTGTATGGATTTTGCATATCTTTTATCAGACTAATTCCTATGTATTATGTTTCTGATACTATAGTAAATGGTATTCTTTTACATTCAATTTCTGATTTATCATTACTAATGTACAGAAATACTTTTTCTTTTTGTCATATTGTATTCTGCAACCTTTTAAACCCACTTGTTCTAGTAGGGTTTTTTTTAGAGTTCATCAGATTTTTTATATATGGATGATCTTTTCATCTGTCAGTACAGTTTTACTTCTTCCTTTCCAATTTGGATGCCTTTCATTTCATTTTCTTGCTTTATTGTATTGGCTAGAACTTCTAGCCAATGTTGAACACACGTGGTTGAAGTGGACATCCTTGTCTTCTTCCTGATCTTATAAAACAAGCATCTGTCTTTCAGAACTAAGTATGATACTAACTAGATTTTTCTTAGATGTTTTTCAAGGGTTGAGGATATTCCTTTCTATTCCTGGTTTTCTGCGAGTTTTTTTTTTTTTTTAATGTTTATTTACTTTTGAGAGAGACAGAGAGAGAACCAGCAATGGAGGGACAGAGAGCGAGGGGAACAGAGGATCCAAAGCAAGCTCTGCACTGACAACAGAGAGCCTGACATGGGGCCTGAACCCATGAACCATGAGATCATGACCTGAGCTGAAGTGGAACGCTCAACTGACTGAGCCACCCAGGCGCCCCATCTGAGAGTTTTTAATCAGAATGGATGGTGATTTTTTTTTTTCCTAATGCTTTTTCTGCATTTATTGAGAAGATTGTTTTTTGTTTTTGTTTTTTTTTTTCACTTTTAGCTTGTTAATAGGGTGACCACTTAACATTGATTAATTTTCAAATTTTAAGCCTGCCTTACCTTTCTTTTGGGGATAAACTCCTCTTGGTCATGTATTATCCTTTTTATATGTTGTTAGGTTTGATTTTCTAAAAGTTTATTTACAGTTTAATTTTCTATGTTCATAAAGCCTTTTTTTCCCCTTTAATGTCTTTGTCTGATTTTGGTGTTAGGTGATGCTTGCCTCAAAGAATTTCTTGGAAAATATTTTGTTCTCTTTAATTTTCTGGAAAAGTTTGCATAGAATTGGCATTACTTCTTCCTTAAATGTTTGGTAGAATTTACCAGTAAAGCCAGTGGGACCTAGAGTTTTCTTTGTGGAAAGATTTTAAACTGTAAATTTAATTTCTTTAATAGATAAAGAGCTACTCAGTAGTCTGTTGTGTACTGTTGTATACAGAGCGACCCTCCACAGATTTCATATATCCAGAGTTCTCTCTCTGTGTAGCTTTCTGTCTCATATTTTGTCCTGCCCATTCTAATTCACTTGGTCTCCACCACTTCTTAGCTGCGTTTCCTTAGAGTCTGCTGAGTCTGCTCAGTCATAGAGTCTGCTGAGTTATCCCTGCATTTTCCCTCTTTGTGCCATGGCTTGGAAAGTCTCTTAGGTCATTAAGCTGGAGCAATTATAGGGCTCACGTCATTTGTTTTGCATCTCTCATCATCGTCTATTGTCTACTGTCTTGCAAACCATAATTTCATTTATTTATTTGCTTTTGGTCATGTTGAGTGGGAGGGTGGTCCTTCTTCATTCTGGACATAAGCAGAAGTCTTATTCAAGTTACCCTACTTTTGAAATCTGAAACACAAGTTTCTTCCACTGTAACTGTTCTTTGACTTCATCAAGAATTCTATTCTTTGAACTCTTGATTTTCTTCTATTAACTCTTTCCCAGCTTATTTTTTATTACTTTATTATACAGCCTATAACCATTACTCATTAGTTCATCTGTTCTCTTGTCAGTAAACATAATATGATTAAACTCTTGCTTCTCTGAGTAGCACATACTCAGTAATACCTAATCTCTAGATCAGTTTTTTTAGTTTGCTTTAACAGTTCTCACACCCAGCTGTTTGGAAGCCATAAGTAAAAATCTCAACTCTCTGGATAAGTGCCATCACAAACTCATGGTTAACTCATAACTAAAAAGTGACTGGGCTGATATTTGAACCCAGGCTGTCTAGTTTCAGTGTCTGTATTCTTAACTTCTACCCAACAAAGAAACTTGCAAAAAAAATGTGTATATATATATATATATATATATATACACACACACATATATATATATATATATACACACACACATATATGTATATATATAAACCTATTTCACTTATGCATGTGGAAACTAAAATCCTAAATAAAAAATAAATCCGGCAATGACTGTGTGTACATACATACA